CAAAATACTTACATTGCAAACTACAAATCAGCAACTATGAAAATATTTATTTGCCAAAAATTTTATCTTTTAAAAGATAGGACATTTGATTATTTCAAATTTTTAAAATAAATCAATAATGTTTACAACAAATATCTATTATCAACTAAGTATGTCTTTTTCTTAATTTGTAGATACTGATTTATTAGGTTTATATATTCATTAAATTGATTTGTAGTTGTAAATGCAAGGAATTACTCATATAACATTCAGAGATAAATAAGTTACTTAATAGACATCACAATAAAAACAAAAATAAATCATCATGTTTCTTAAAAAAATAATCATTCATGGGTTAATCATGTTTTATATATAATATTTATTAGACAAAATATTTGGCACAAAAATGTTATTTTGGTATTATAGAAACATTAAAATGTGTGTATCATAAAATAAAAATTTACCTTTTATTATAAATAAGCATTGGAAACAGAACATTCTCTTTCAATGTAAATAATAATAGGAAAATGGGTATTAATATATAATTTGAAAGTATGAATGGTAGAATCAACTTATGGTTGATTATATATACATATACATATATGTGTGTGCAGATATTTATTTATTAATGTATGCTTAATGACTAAAATGATAAAAATATAAGTATGTTTGAGTTCACCTACCTTAAGAACATCTCCTTGTGCTAAATGAAATGTTCTGGCTGAAATATTGATGCCCTTTCCTGCTTGAACCTGAATACTATAAATGCATTCATGGTTGTTTTCATAGTTGAGGGGATAATTTGGAGAGAGCAAAATTCCTTCATTATTTGTTGCAGATGCACCACATTCAGCTGCAGGTAAAACAGAATAGTGAAGTACAGTTTAATAGAAAGCATTATCATTTTCAAGTAATGTCATGTATGGAAGTGTAATGCATTTTATTTTACCTAGAGCCTAACAGGAAAATGATATATAGAATGACTGTGTTGTAGATGATTTTTTCCCTTTTCAAATAACATATGGGAAGAAAGGACTATTGCCCATGGAGAGGATATGTGTATATAAATGGAAATATACAATAGTTTCAGGAATTTTTCCCTGCATAAAAAGATAGCATGGGAAAGA